GCCATTTGAGTCAGTGTAATGCAAGTTTTAAGACTAAATGAAAAAATCGCCTATACCATACCGCAGAATAAGGTGTGGGAAGAATTCTGCATTACAATTGGAGTCGAAGGTGGATTAGGAGTATTGGTAAACGCCTTAGCAGCAGGACTTTTAGCAGGAGAATCTACTACTCAATTAGCTGATGCTGTTACACAGGCTAAATCTGCTCTCAGTGTAGTTAATGGTGTGGCCAGTGTTGCAAGATATACACCTTTCGAAGAAATAGAACTGCAAGTGTTACTTCAACAAGTTAGCCAGGAGAAGCAGTCTATTTGCACCACTACGGAAGAAATATCAACTACGACAATTACAGAGGAACCGAACACTTCTATAAATGTTGAGGAACCTCCAAAACCGTCCAATTCTAGACGGCAAAAAGAAACACTTCCTTTACTTAACGACAAAAGTAGAATTTATAGAGCTAAGCCGAATAGGCATCCAGAGTCCAAGGCTCTACTTCAAATTAAATCTAATATTCCCTCGCATCTACTTGAACACATCAAACATCACCTACGTAGACTTCATGCATTTTTGTAGTAATGACTTTTTATAGTCATTTACGAAACTACGCATTTCTTTGTGTCACTTCCAAGACTGAACCTATTTATTTGCGAAAGTGTTGTAAGTGTAGGTACGAAGTTAAGTCAACCTAAAATCACTGACATTCCAATTTTTGCCCTCTTTTGAGCTCCGGCGTTGGACTGCAGCCTTATTAAATTGTCATTAAATATTTCTTCCAAAATCCCATCCCAGTAAGCCCTCCTACAATACGGCAAACATAAAGTAAGTTTTTGCTAGTAAACCGTTAATTTATCTTAGAATTTGATACAGGCTCCGTGCAGTCTATTCGCGGTTGTGATAGCAGTAGACATTGATGAGGGCATGTTTGTCAGTGATCCTTACCACGGTGTCGCATAGGTGAGTTGGTCCAGAGGTTTCAATAAGTTTGGTTGGTGGTCGGAGTGATAAAGAGAGCTTTCGTCTATCCTCTTCTGGATCTCAAAGGGAGCATACGATAAGAAGCGGCTTTCCGCTAAGATACGCACTAACAACTCTCTCCATCGTTCGAGAACGTAAAATCGTTTCCCTTACTATCCTTGGGTCCAAGTGCTTGTGAAGAAAAAACACTTTAGGGGAGGACCTGGAAAGCTTAGGTGCATTTGCAATATTAAGCGCTACCGAAATGACTGACAAGAAAATGAGAACACCATGATACAAAAGTCCTCACTGTAAGTGACTGCTTTCACTTTTACCCACTTTGCTATCACTCCTTCTATAAATAGCGCAGACGAGTTATCAAATCTGCGAAAAATAAAAAGCTGACAAATGCTGAATAAGTTACATCGATGCCCAAGCCTACGCTTAAGTTCAAGTAGCTTGGATGTCCACGTCTCCTGTGTGTGCATGCCAATGTGTGAGCCTACACATGCGAACATTTTCTCTGTAACAAAACCTCTCTAGATTACTACCTCTCCAGTCATCTAGCTCGCCACATCTTCATATCTAAATATTTGAACCTCAAATTCCCATTATCTATTTGCCACTCAAACTGCTTAGTCTAATAGCTCCCAACCCCTCTAAGATCAGGGTTCTCTGCCCATCTACCTCAATTTCTCGAAAGATTTTTGGCTCCCTAACTGTCAATTACTCTAACTCTCTAACCAATCGTCCCACTTTACCGCTAATTCTCTAGCCCCACAACGCAATAGGAGATCAAGTCTATATGAGTTCAT